CAAAATTCTAAATGTATTTTTGTTGCTTGATGTCACACACCTGGTTTGTTTAGTATTATTGTCACCAGCTTTAGAAAAGTCGAATTATTTTTCCTTTTCATAGAGTTGTGGCAAACCTGTGCATGATACTATAAGAAAGTGCTGAAGACCTCAGCATTGACCACATGTCAGCAAAATGAAAAGATCTTTACCTAAGAGAAAGGTAGAAAATAAAACAATGCTAAACGATCTTAGTCTTCCGTAAAATTGATCTGGTAAAGCAAGTGGAAACTATAGTACAAAGCCTCATAGGTTTCTATATGTTCCAAAGTCTATCTTGCTTGAAAGTAACTATTAACTTTGATGACTAAGCTCCAATGAAATTTATATGCATCCGATGGGCGTCCTGTTCGTTCCACTCAGTGACTGTTTAAGTTCGCATTTATGGCTTGAGTGTCGTAATTTCATAATTTTTCTTTTTATTTATATCCTACCGGTCTTTCTTGATCTGCTTCACCAAAGATGAATTGAAAGTTAAAAGACATCCTTATTACTTAAGATTTTGAATGGCCTAGCAGTTACTCCTCTGGAAGTTTTTCTCGTTGATGTTTGTTGGTCTTTAGTCCTTGAGGTTGTTGAAAAAGTTCCTTATATTTGTCCTAGGAAATGGCTGAGAATGCTTCAACAGTTTTCAATGTGCATGTTCTTGAGTTCGTGGAAGCTATTTGGGTTGCTCTGAGAGATCCAAAGTTGAATATTCGGGAGAGAGCTGTGGAGGCATTGCGTGCCTGCCTTTGGGTCATTGAGAAGCGTGAAACTCGATGGCGTGTGCAGTGGTAAGTGTAGTTTATATGGTGTTATTACTAGCAGTTCATTAGAATATAATTTTACTCCCATGCTCGTTGTTTTGAATTAATTTCCATAGGTTAATAGTTGCTTTTTCCTTGTAGAGTGTGGAGTGTTAGTCTTATACAGTGGTAAATTCTGGTGCTTATTACTTTGTCTGGCTTTTATTACGTGTCTTGTATTTATTTTTTTTTTCCTGCTGTCTGTTGCATCTTGCTGTGAATGCTACCATGAATTTTGTCGTTTGGTCTAATTGCTGATGTTGAATTAAAAGTTCACAACCTATCTCGACTTTGGTATTTTCTTACTTGATGATCCTTGGGGCTAAATGTTTAATGTCCTCACATCTTGACTCTTAACACTTATATGTGTTCCCTTCCAGATTTTGGAACTGATCTTGTAAGATGTTTTAAAGCTTTTGACATTATCATTATTCATTCTCTTGTGAATAGTTCTTTTCAGTAAGATTTTGGGGCTGTAGTAATCGGTGAAACATGAATTGGGGCTGTAATAATTAATGATGAATTAGATGAACCTCTGGTGGAACAGTAGGTAAAATTTAGTTTCTATATTTTGTATCTGTTTATATATGTCATTTGTGTTTTTTTTTTTTTCAAGACTTTTGTTGTGAAACTTTCTCAGCTAATCTTACTTTGGAACAATATTTGCTGCCTGATGTCGATGGCAGGAATTATCGTATGTTTGAGGCTACACAAGATGGTTTGGGAAGAAATGCTCCTATACATTGCATACATTGTTCGCTGCTTGCAGTTGGGGAACTGCTGAGGTGGGTTCGGTGATACTTTTTAACCTGCTTTAGGTTGGCTTCTGATATATTATACAGTGGCAACTGACAAGTTGGTATTTTGAGTTTTTGAGGTTTTCACTTACATTTAAATTTGTGGTGCAACAGAGCTTTCGATATAATCCTTGCTTGTTTTCCCTTAAACATGATTTTAAGTTCCTTACTTTAATTTGGACTAATCACTTTTCCTGTGTATTCATGATGTGTAGCATCACGATGCCTAACATCGTGTCTATCACCATAAAGACCTTATTTTACCACTGTGTTCGAGATAGTAGGATATTTTAAACATTTGTCATGGTTGTACTTGAGGGTGGCATTATGTACTTGGGTAAACTGATATATAGCTGTTAAATGAAACGAGCTGCTCCTGAGCTCGGCTCTACTTTTTTGATGAACGAGCCGAGCCGAGCTCATTTAAACCTCATTTGGTTAACCCGAGCTCGGCTAGATAAGGCTGGAAAAGATGATTTTTTATAGAATTTTCTATAGTTCGGCTCGTCGAAGCTTGATTTTGGCTTGTTAATATTGATAAAACGAGCCGAGCTCGAAGTCAATTATAAGCTCGTTAAGTTAACAAGCTGAGCCGAGCTCGCTCAAGCAACATGAGCTCAAGTTCGTCCCAACTCGTTTACACCCATTTTACCACAAAATGGGGAAAAAAAACTAGGTAAAATATCTCGTTTACGGTTGTTTAATTGTTTTTGCTTATTAATGGGCTCTTATTGCGTTAAATGTTACATTTTACAGGAATACAGGTGAGTTCATGATGTCTCGATATAGAGAAGTTGCTGAGATTGTCCTTCGGTATCTAGAGCATCGTGATCGGCTTATCCGTCTCAGCATAACTTCTTTGCTTCCTCGAATTGCCTATTTCCTACAGGACCGTTTTGTGACGAACTATCTGACGGTTAGATGCTTTCCCCTCTGCATGTAACTGCACTTTAGCCCCAGTGGTGTGAATTATTTCGAGATATGTCAGTTTAGCCAACAATTTTTTTTGTTTTTCACAGATTTGCATGAAGCACATATTTCATGTTCTTAAAATACCTGCGGAAGCTGCTAGCGGTTCATTGCTCTTGGGGAAATGGCTGGTGCATTGGATGGTGAACTCATCAATTATTTGCCGACAATAACATCTCACTTGCGTGATGCTGTATGAGTTGCATCAGAAAATTAATCTTAATATTATGTTTTCACCGAATAATAGTATTTTTTTTTATGGGTATATATTTGCACTGAATAACACTCTTTGCATTTGTCTTTGCTTCTTCATAGATTGCTCCTCGTAGAGGGCAACCCTCTATGGAGGCTTTGGCGTGCGTTGGGAATCTTGCAAAAGCAATGGGACCTTCTATGGAGCCTCACGTACGAAATCTTCTGGATGTAATGTTTTCTGGATTATCCTCCTCCTTAATGGAAGCCCTTGAGCACATAACTGCCAGGTCTTCAATCTTCACATTAACATCCTGCATGCAGCTTATTCTGCTTGTCTTAATGAATTGTGAGGCATTGATAGAAAACATTTTTTTTCCCTCAGCATTCCAACCTTGCTTCCGACCATTCAAGTACGCCTACTTGATTGCATTTCTGGAGTTTTTGCTCGAAACCAACAAGTTCAGTCAAGGCCTTCCAA